TATCAGCAGCGCTTTCGATTTTCTTTATAAACTTTATCTTCTTATGGAACTTTCAATGAAAATGACGCCAAACCACAAGCACCACACCATAGGCAACTTATGAATATGCATGAAGCACCCATAACAAAACTAAACTAGTGCAGTGAATTTTATGAAAATTTAATTTCATGTAAATCCAACGCTCAAGCTGAACTATAAAAACTTTTTTTTTCTTCTTATTTGTGTGTGTGTGTGTGGTTCAAATTTCAATCTAAGCTCTTCTTCACATTGCGTCGGCAACCGCTTTTTTTGTTCTATTATTAGAATCAGATTTTTTTTCTCGGTCGCCTTCGTTTGTAATGCAAACATAAACACCATTGCCGAAATACAGTCGCGCAATTGTCTTGTTGATCATTTTGATAATCTATTGCGTTCATTCGTTTTTGAGCATCGTTATTGTTTGTCAAAATATTGATGAATTTTTGTTGTCGTTGCTGTTGCTATTATTATTTTTATTGTAAAAACAATGAAATCTAAAACGGTTGACGAAACCATGCGCAACAAAATGATATCAAAATGGAGTGAATACTGCAAAAGTGAAATCAAATTGGTGGCTTTAATGTTGATATACAACGAAGATTGACATATTATGGGTGAAGATGCGAAAGAGTGCAAACTTGACAATATTGCGGTCGACACATGAACATCCAATTGAACGAATCCTTGAGATGTGTTGAAAGGATTCGAGCAGGGAAAACATGCACTGGAGCTCAATTGCATCGGTATGTGAATACGCAGCAATGAATAAAACCGTCGTCGTCGTCGTCATCGTCGTCGTTGTCGACGATCAAAAGAAAATAAAAACATTCAAATGCATCGTTATAAAAATGTATAAATGAATGACGAAGAAAAAGAAGAAGAAGGAGGAAAAAAACACAGCTAGAACAACAAGTAAAATAAATAAACCTAAAGTTGGCGTAGCCATGTAGTAAAAATTATTTGGAAAAATAACAAAGTACAGTTGAATGCAACTCCATTTGAACAGTAGCAAAGCATCGAGCGAGCAGGAAAAAAAACATTGTCGAAATGACAGCAAAGACAGTAATGTTTATAGTGCATATACATTTAATTTTAAGTCCTGTATGCATACGAACAGCCACATTCACATGCAGCACCGACAACAGAGACAACAACAAATAATAAAAATAATAATAACAACAACAACACACGAACCGTCTACAAAACATGTTCGGTTGTTGTTCATCTTTTGTTTCTCATTTTCTGCTTCTTCTGAATACGTTCTCTTCTCTCGGCTGCATTTTATTTTGCTTCATTTTTCCAGTTTTCATTCGTACTGTATTTGAAATTTATTATTTAGAGTAGAAATCTTCTTTATTTCGTGAAGCTCGTCTTTGCCTCGTGGTGTCTAGCACTTCACTGGCTGTGTGGAAAATCTTCATCTCTCTAAAAAAAAACAACCGTCTGCCTAATAAAATTTAAATGGAAAATCCAACTGCATCGAAATGTAACTTAATATGTATTAACTGCTTCGATGCATCAATCCAATTTTGTGCTCTGAATCACTGTTCCGATACTACGAAATGACAACGAGTCTAAGCAAATGAAAATTTATTTTAAATGACATTTGAGAGATTCTATTCGATTGTTGGTTGGCTGAAATTCAGAAGGGAAACAATGTCTTTTAATTCGCTTCAAAGTGATGCAGCATTGAACTTGCTCCCATATTTTGTGCGTTTCTCTCTCTCTCTCTCTCTCTCTCTCTCTCTCTCTCTATCTATTAGTCTCTTATTACGTTTTCCTTGAAATCATCCAACTTGCAAAGCATCCCGATTTTTGTTCAGTAATCATCAACATTGATGCCGTTTTCTGTATGCGAACTCAGACAATTTTCTATTTGTCAATTGGTCCGCGTCAGAAACGGTTTTGCAATGCACCCAGGTCGGTCGGTCATGTGACGTTTCATTGAATTTGAATGAAATCGTTGAATTATACACATATACGCATGATTATCCCCATCACTTGAATATATTAATACGTACTCAACGCAACAACGTTGAGTTTGTGTATGTATATGAGGGAAACGAATATCCTGAAACTGTTGAGTGCGATTTGCATGTAAATTTTTTGGATGAAAATTTATCGTTAGATTTGATTTGTATCCGGTTTTAATGTCATTCAATAGGATATAATGATAATAATAATGATGATGACAACGAGAAATGTGGCTTAGATACAAAACCACTACATTTTTGATGTGAAAAAGATAGTTACCGAAAGAAAGAAAAAAACAATAAAACTACCAACACACATACATGCAAATGCAAACAAAGTCGAAATAAAATAGTGTATTTCCCGCATAATATCGTGCGCGCATTTTGACAAGACAAAAAATATAAATGGTAGAGGGCGAGAGAGCGAGAGAGCGTAAAAAAGCGAATAGTGGTTCCGATTTGAAAGCAAAACATACAAATACATCAAAATGTGCCATTATACCAAATTATATCCTGTTATAATATTCAGGCAGGCAAAATTGCCTGTGTGCTAGTATTGGTAGATAGTGGCTGCAATGATGATTATGATGATGGTGGTGGTGGTGGTGGTACGAAGAGAGTGTGAGATAGATAGAAAAGGAGAACACACATCCGATTCAAATTAAATATGTATAGTGATCTTCTCACTCACACACAAAAGCACATAAAACTGAAATTATATTAAGGGTGCTTATAATCAGTCAGGCAATAAACTTAATGTTTTCATATACCCCGATATGAATTCGTGCAGCGGTGTGTGTGTGTGTGTGTGTGCGTGCGCGCTTAGCGCATAGCAAACAACAAAACGAACTAGCGACAAACACAGCATAGACGAAAAAGATACACACACTCACATGACTTAATGCATTCAACCGTAGTTGTTATAGAAAAATCGTTGAAGAATTGTGTAGTATCCATTTATCAAGCGCGAACAGCAGCCACAACACTCGACTTCATGCATTCGAGCTTTGCCAAACACAAGAGGGTGAACGAAACAAACCCAGTTGATGCTAGCTTAGCCATACACGAACGCGCACACACACACACACACACACACACACCAATCCTGGTGATGATGATGACAACAACAACAAAAAAATAAATTCAACTACACAGAGAGAAAGAGACAAAACATTGCAACACGCATAGAATTGTGTATGCAACAGTGACAATTTTGTATTGTCGCGTATACCACCGATTTCGCAAAATCCACAAAACGATACTCAACATTGGTAACTCTCTCGAAATGCTTGGCATACAAATGCACTCATAAATTGAATGAAAATAAAATGAAGGAAAAAACGTTTTTTTATTTAACGAAAGACGCAAACCAATTAATAAGATTCACTTTTAAGGCGGCTCGCAACTTTTACTCTCAATAGTTTTTGTTGTGCGCACGCGCACATACGCATGAGTTGGCGGTTTAAAATGACATTACATTTTAAGAAAAAGTAGCCGCTCTCATTCATTTGATGTGTTGCCGCGAATAATTCACAGCGATTACAGCACCAAACATGAGAAATAGCCGCAAATAAGCATGTGTGCAAATGAGCGTGCATGACATGCCGTAAATAAAATTTTATGTGCAGAAAACAGAAAACGCACATAAATGTCCTGCATAAAGAATACGCGGTAGCTAGATGACCGTCATGGTCGGACACATTACTTTGGTGCCGTTGCGATGCACGGTACACACATGGCCAAACGTGTATAACTCACGATCGTTTGAAAATCATGTGCGTGCAAACGTATATCACCGACATCATGATGATGATGATGATGACGACGACGACGACGATGATGATTGTTCGGTGCATGTATGTTTTCGCTGATGCTCGGTTGAATGTTCGCCATCGTTGCGATTCAGTTTGGTTCGCAAAAAAGAAGCAACACAGCCGCAGCAACAACAAAAAGGAAACAAAACGAAACACCATGCGTCGCATGTGTGTGAGGCGAAAACATGTCTCTCTATTTGGTTGTTGCTTTGTTTGCTCTTCTTTAGATCATTCAATATGATGTTGTTACTGCCGCTATTTCCATTCACGACAAAAGAAAGACTTGATCTGTTGACGCTGTTGTTGCCGTTGCATCTTTCTATGTTTGGAATATTGTCGTCATCGTCGTGCACTGAGTTTCTTTGTCTGCCTCGTTTTGCATTTCATTTGACTTGGCCCTGCACATTTTTTTTCGTTCGTCTTATTCGTCTTTTTCTTCACTCTCTGTGTGTGTCAAATATCGTAATGCGGTGCAAATGTACATATGTACGTGCTCAAGATACAAAATCCAGTGAACATTTTGAAGTGCAGAGCGCTTCAACGCTAGAATTGCATTGTGTTTCATTCAATCCCTTTGTACACTTTTGTTTACGAATTGCCCGCTCAAGTATTGCCTCAATGCTGCCGTTCATTCGCTCGTTCATTCGTTCGTTCGTTCACTTTTTTTTTTGCTGTCTTTCGTTGCTCTCGCTCTATCGCCAGGCACTGACACACACAATTCATTTCATACATGCACTCGGGAACGGAATATACGTTACGATGTGGCCCACATGCCTTTTATATAGATATATATTATATTCGGACCGTTACTGCGTTCTTTGGAACGGATATATTTCGTTGTGCATGCACATATATGGTGGTGTGTGTGTGTGAGAATGAGGTTCATGGTGGGCTACTTCGTAGTATACTCTGAATTGCACACACACACACACAAACAAACAAACCAACAGTCGTGTGTTTCGAATCCAAGCCCAAGAGAAGTCGTCGTCGTCGTTGGCTCCTGTTCTATTGCACACACAACTCATATATGCGCTTCCTTTCCTCTCTTCGCACTCTCGCCCTTTCTCCCTCTCTCTAACTCCGGCTCCGCAAAGCCACACGATAATAACAAAAACAACAACAACAACAATAATAACATTGTACTAATAATTTTTCGCTTTATTGTACACATTGAAGAGCAAGCTATGTTTAGTCAAATGTAAGCCGTTGTCGAGTCAATATATATAGAGAGAGATATGTGTAGAGCAGAGTGGTGTACGCACTCGGTATGAAACAGAGCGCACGCGATACTAAGAAAATAAAAGGAAGACTATTTCATTGTGTTCGGTGCATTCGGTGCGAGAGCGAGTGCGCTTTTCAAAATTGATCTGACGGTTTTGCTTCTCCTTTTTTGTCATCTTTTAGTGTGATTGTTGGAGTGCGAGCTCACGGATATTTTGACTATTATCCAGCCGAAATATAAATACACATCGGGAGAAGAGAATTGAATTAAGAAAAAAAAAAGAAGAAGAAAATAAACAATATAAAGATCGTTTGGCACAAACATTTATCTGTGACCGATTATCGGAGTTAGTGAGCGCGGCGTAGTGTCGTAACTCTTTTTTCTACACAAATAATTTTTTCGTTCAGTTTTCTCGTGTGTTCACCCAAAGTGCTCGACAGCCAGTGTGTTCTGTGTGGATCATTTTGTTTTTTTGCTACTGATGTTGTTGTTGTTCATATTCCTTTCCGTTGTGTTTCATTTTCATTCTGAGTTCACAGTGAGTTGAGTGCGCGGCATCTATTAATATTGGATTTTTGATGCAAAAAACTTTATTTTTATTGTTCTCATCGTTTACTCGACGCGACTCACGATTCACATTTCATCGTCTATTTGCACTTACAATACACACATGTCGAACGTCGCTTTTTTTTCCCTTGTGTTTTGTTTTCCGTAAATATTTGAATAGTTCAAATATTAGTTAAACACCGACAACCAACGAGCGAGCGAGCGCGCAGAATAGAGAGACAATATTTTTTGTGTGTGTCATGCTTAAGCATATACAGTGCAGTTAATTTTATTTTTTCGCTCTGCTACTTCTGTGCTGTCAGTTAGAATTGGGAATTGTTTACACGTTTGCTAATTCATAAATGAAATTTTTATCGTTAGTTTTTGAATGAGATACGTTTTGGATACGAATGCGTTCTTGTCAATAATTGAGAATGGAAAAAGCGATTCAGAACAATTTGTTCAGAGACATAAATATCAAACAAACAAAAATAACGACAAAAAAAGAACCGTACTCTTCGAATTTGGTGTACGAGTCATAGTAAAATCTTACGCGTGTGCGACAAAACTCAAACTGTAACTCAGTTAATAGTGTTGCGTTCCATCGATCAAGGCCGTTGGACACCGAACCGGAGCAAAGTGTGATTATTATCGGAAGTGGAACTGTGGACATTGAATCATAAAATAAAATAAATAATTCACAACGACATTGCAGTAAATACTCTATACATGGTGTCCCAAAGTGCAGTTTATGTTCGAATTGACATATACACACAACCACACGATACAGAAGAAGAGAGTGTGACACCGCACATATGCCAAACGAAAGGCTTGATGCCTCCTGCAAAGCCAGTCAAAGCTTATGTCATTTTGATAAGAGCCATTACAAATCTGTGGCATTAAATAACTAATTCATATCGAAACAAGTGAAAAAATGCAAACAAATCAGAATCTATTTGGCAATGTGAACAAACATATGGTTATGATTCGATTATAAATGCGATTAATCCGTAGTAAGAGCGAACGCGCGCGTACGTTAAATTTGATTACGATACGGAATCGAAACGAATTGAATTGCATTGGTTCGAATTGTGAGTGTGTGTGCTGGCAGCAATAATAGTAACAACAACAACGTGATATTTCCGTAGCAAGAGCAAGATAGAGAGCTCATTCGGCATGAATGTTTTCAAATACCAATTATGAGTATCAGCCGCATTGAGATTTGGTTCCATTCCACTGATTTTATTGACTGAATGGTGAAGCGGTGCGCGCGTGTTCTCAGGCACATTATTGGAAATAGCGACCAACGAACGTACGAAAGAGAGATAGAGAGAGAGAAAGAGAGAGAGAGGGCGAGATTTGCATGTGTATGTAATCCGTTTTGGAAATATGTCGTTTAAAAGTGATAAACCCATATTAGATCAGCAACAGCAACAGCAGCACCATCATCATCACAACCACCAGCACCAACAACATTTAGCCATCGCTCCTCCACCATCGCATTCGTTTCGCCAACCGTACGCCGCCGATACAAAAACCATGGTGTACACCGCACCGATTATGCATATTGACAGTGATATTAGCAATTTGAATATTTTATCTAATAACAATAATAACGTAATTAATAAAGTTCCTGAACCGGTTCGCTCATATGAAACGATTAATAATAACAACAATATCATGGATTGTATGCAACAGCTTCAGCAATATCAGCAAGTACAGTTAATGAAACCGACTACTGAATCTGGGGTACGATTTAAATTCATGTTTTATTTTGTATTAGGCACCGTTTCTTTTTCTTCTTCGTTCTTTTCGATTTCTTCGACTCCATCGTTTATTGAATGCTATGACCATTTTGTTCGATGTCAATTGAGAATCGACACTTGAAATTTCAAAAAAAAATTCTGGTGTTTGCGTCGCATGACCAATTGTAGTTAAATACTAGTTTATCACTTATCGTTTCCTTCTTTTGAAATTTTGAAAAACCGTTTAAGCGTTTACAACTTATTCAAATTTATAATAGCGGCTGGAGTTTTTACTTTACCCGCCCCAAATATCCAAATATAATGCGGTCGTTTTCGTCATTAATGCTTCCATTAATCTATTATTCGATTTTGGAGCAAATATCAAAATTACATCAACACTTCGTTGACTCCACAGAAGAATATGAAGAGAAAGGAAAAAAAGCAGAAATCGATTTAATTAGCTCACAAACAAATGCGTCAAAGTTTGATTTCAATTTTTTAGTATTTTCCATAAAGTTTACTTCTCACGCACAATCTTTTCACATTTCGTTCGTTTTTTTTTCTATCTCTCGCTCGTTTAATTATCCATTCAAATCATAATAAAAGACAGAACAATTTTTATGCCTACACCAAATCGGTAATAACCGGTATTTGACACGAATAACCATTTATTTCATATTAACATATCTGTTGACGGTTCACACTGAGATCATAAATACTAAATATTCTCTCTTTGAAATGCAGAGATAGCCTAAAAAAGAGTCTGCGTGATGTCATAGGGCATGTGGATCAATTATAAATAATTATATTTTTTTTTTAAGTCTCTCTTTCAAGAATATATATCACATAAATATTTAAAAAAAAAATCGTCCATTTAACAATTACCATCTCGTTGATTAAATCAATTAAGTCTGTTGGATTGCATGCAGTAAAAGGATTGATGTTATAGCAAAAGAATTCTATCTCTATCTTCATCGCCTGAAATGAATGGCCAATTCCATGCCAAAGAAGAATTAAATTCGATAAATCAAATGAAATCGCCGAATTTGCCATTGATTTGCAGCCAAAATTGGGAATATGGTTAATGTGTTTGGCGGCGAAATTTCAACACACAATGTATTTTGATTAGCATCGAGTTTATGCTATTCCGCTTTATTCTCTCCACAATAATTATAAATCAGCATTAATGTGATTCATGGATATGGAACTCGATAGTGAATAGAGTCTCTTGTGCTTTCAGCACAGCAACGCAAAAGACAAAAGCCAGTGTGCTGAGACTTTTAATTGATTTACGCAATCGAAAAATGCTCTAATTTTATTTTTTCGTAATTTCAAGAATGTATTTCGATAAAACTAAGTACAATTTCATCAAAATTGAAAGCAAAACAGCGGAAAAAGGGACAAAGCACAGACGGAGATCAAGCGAGAGAGAGAGAGAGAGGGAGAGAGAGAGAAACAGAGAGAAAGAGCAATGTACAGTACGAAACGTACAAAGTCGTAATATGTATTTCGAAATTTTTTATTTATATCGCAATTTTATTTCATATCTCCTTAATATCGTCTATCTAAGTCGGACAGAGCTCAACCACAACGATTTAGAATTTATTTGTTCTTTTTCTCATATGATGTTGTTTTTTTTCTCATTTCGTTGCTTTTTTTCTACTTCGTATCTTCACTTTGCTTTTATTCTATCCTCAGCGCTCTTTTTCTCGATTTCGGCTCGTTGATTTCAATATTTGTTTGCTTTTATTGTATGTTTTTTTTTCGGCTCATAATTATCATTTTTGTTTCTCGAATGTTTTTGCTTACTTGAATTTTTATATATATATTTATATATTTTCGCTGTGTGTTGTTCTCTCGGCATTCATTTTTCGTCTATTTTGTTTTATTTAACAACATCATTGGGAGACGACGGCATTGGTACACATCGAATCAATAATTTGTTAATGTCTGTACTTTTATTTACGCGCTTGAGAAATTGTATGAAATAAAATATGCGTTTCGTATGTACGTTAAATTGGTTTATTTTGATAACCGCGACGAGCGCGTATCCATGCACCAACCATTTCTCTCACTTTCTCGCTCGCGCACTCCTTCTCTCGACATTTTTTTTTTCTGTCGGTTTCATTATTGTCGATTTTAATTTAAACGTTTGCACACGGAATATTTTTTTATTTCGTAAAATTCGGCAGTAACCAAAATTCATGACTTTTCCGTGAAAAATAGATCGTGACCAGAAAAAAGGGGGGGGGGGAAGAGTCGAATGTGAATTTATATTGAAACCTATAAAAAATGACCATGTTCTAAACTGAAAATCGCTTTTTACATTGTTTTGACTAGCGCACATATATCACATCGTATCGATGTTCAGGATGTGCGGGAAAGTCAAAGCATAATATTGATTTCATTGTCACTTTTGTTATTTGTGGCGTGGCTGGTTGAAACGCGAATATTTGAGGCGAAAAAAAAATCACAACCGCCCGTACATGCGATTTGTTTTCCTTTCTCCGCTGAAATATACAGCGATTAATCTTCAGAATAAACATTCAATGATGCTAATTTGGTCAATTGCCAAGCTAATAAAATTGACAACCAGGAACAGCACAAAGCCACACGTATGTACACGTGATTGGATTCTAAGAGAGAGTTAGAGAAAATAAGAATGTCGAAAGAATAATTGGCCGAGAAAATGGCAATTTTGTGTCAGTGAAAATGCTTTTAGCATTTTGGTGATGCGATAAGAATCATGAAGCCTTTTCCCACTTAATTTGACCCCAAATGAAATTGTGATGCGGTGCCATCATTTGCGTATCACAATTTTCAAATGAAAATTCAAAACAAAAAATACGCGAGCAAAAACAATGTGTTTTTTTTCAGTTTCCTCATTTAATGATCCGTTTTTTATTGGTTCGTTAGCAACAGAAGTTGGCAGCCAGCGAACTTTTATGATTGTTTTATTGAATTTCTATTGAAACAACAACAACAACAAAATAGAGAACGAAAAAAAATGCTTTCAAATCAATTTGATGGATTTGTCTTGTTTAGTTTTTATTACAATTCCATTTTTATTTACATTGTTCTGTCGTAGTTATTCGCTCATGTGTATGGATATGTGTGTGTTTTTTTCTCATCTCTCCCTCTCTCTCTCTCTCTCTCTCTGTCCCGTTTCTATTTGCTTAGCTCAAAAATGTAAACACCAAGATTTTTATTACGAGCTCTCAATTATTGTACCCACAAAACAAAACGATATAGCACTAACGGAGAGAAAAACAAAATATTTAACCAAAAACAAGATCTCGTTCAGAGTAAAGCTATAAAATGTATAATCAAGAAAATCCAATGAAACGCGATACATTCGAGTGAGAATGGAATAGAAAAAAAAAGAGCACCAAATTTACAGTTAAAGGTTGAAGAGACGAAAAAAACGCTAAAAAAATATAAATATAAATATAAAATAAACAAACGCGATTTACTTGCTGTTGGCGTGTGCACTTAGACCAGCCACGCAGTTAGTTCGAGTCCACAGACAAACACACATATATACAGCAGAAACAGCGACACCAGATACAACTGCAACAAAGCAGTACCACAGTCAAAATATTTCCTTCTCCTTCGCACACACTCCCTCAGCTCGTAGTTGTCTCGAATTTGGATCAAACAAATTTACATGCTCATAATTTGGAATGGCCAGCATGAACAAGAACGAACAAGACAAGGCATTTGTTCGAACAAATCTTATGCAATTACTCAAACAAAACTGCCGAATAATCTGTCAAGTTAAATGCACAGCAAATAACCGATATTCAAATCTACTTACGTCAAACTCATTTGAGGTTGTCCTTTATCTCGAATACGCAGTTTCATATATCTGGATAGCGTTACTAATTTTTTTTTCTCTCCATTTTTCGTTCGTTCGTTTTGTTGTACATTGAAATCGATTAACTGCGCCATGCATTCATATGATTACATTTTAATACCTAAACTCCAATATGATGTCGATTTAAATGCGATTCCAATGCAACAGAACAGCGCTTGTAACTGGATTAGATACACAGCACATGCATTCAGATAATCACTTTCGATGTAGATCTGCGTACAAGCAAATCCATTACTAGTAATTTGTTCGCAAATAGTTCTCATTTGGTGTTGCACCAGTTTTTTTTCGCTTTCTGTCTCTCTCCTCTCCGTCTCTTTTCTCTCTTCTATTGCATTCAATCGTATCTCCTTTTTCTATTTTCGACTCCCGCACTCTTTATTTCGATTTTTTTCTTTGCCTAGTTCTCGAATGCAAACACGAGAGAGAAAAAAATATCGCCACGAGAAAGGAGACAGACGTCCAACAACAACAACAACAACAGCAGCAGCAGCAACAGCAACAAAATCAAACTCGCACAAAGGGAATGAAAAATATCCCAAAGAACAGTTCAATCACATTGCCACAATCTATTTTTATTGAAATTGTTCTTGTATGATTGTCTTGCTTGCAATTCACGCAATCATTTTGCTGCAGAAAACGGAGAAAGAGAATGAGACAGAGATGTTGAATGAGAGAGTGAGGATAAAAGCACTGAATTCCGAATGGTTGCAGTGTTTTTCGAAAACCATAATTTCCATTTGGCTACGGCCGAATATTAAATTTCGACTAATTTTTGGTTGAAAATGTATTTCAGCTCAATTTACCATTGTTTTTCGATTCAATTCAATTTTCCATGTAATAAACTTTGCGGCCAGTTTCAGCGGAAGCGCACTGGCTAACGACAATTTATGCAGCTATGCAGACAAAATGAGTGTGACATCAGCAAATTTACAATTGAATATGGGTAAACTGCAATTGTGATGCAAAGATGTAAAAAGTACAGGCTTCGCATCGTAATCTATTTGCAGTATACACTCCATTATCCAAGCGAATTCACAAGAAATTGCATTTGTTTTTGGTTGGTTGCATGTATCGAGCATATTTGAGTAGTTTGGAGCGAAAATGTAATACAGAAAAGTTGCGCGGAAAAATGTCAAATGAAAGGGATAGCTATATAGTTTACTATACAGTTTACTATATAGCTATCCCTTTTCCGCTCATTCATCATCGATATTTTTCCGCTCAACTTTTCTGTATTACATTTTCGCTCTAAACCATTCATTTAATTCGGGAGAAGTGTGTCAATTTTCTTCTAGAATCGAAAATGATGGCACATATCGCAGCCCTTCTGTTCTGAATTGTGTAAAATTGGCTATTAAACACTTGAACAAGAAAATCTCTGTTCAGAGCGAAAAGATGAATTGTATCGTAGCCAAAATACAATCATTCACCCTATATTGTAATCAACATGAAATTATTGGTAGAATATGTTAAAGTTTTCAAATGGTTGAAAAGAATAAATTGATAACATTTACTGAAGTGTTGAGCAAAAGAGCGTCGAAAAATTGCGGAAAAATGGAAGCGATGGAAAGAGAGAGACAGAGAGAGAGAGGAAGAAAGTTGGAGTGTGAGTGAAGCGGGATTGCCGGCAATCGAGTGGGAGAGAAAATGGAGCACATTATATGTGTGTGTGATGATGACGATGGGAAAAGAGTCAAATCGACACAAAACATATAGCCCAAGCATATAATGGCCCTCACATACAACCGATATAATTTCCGTTTGCACTTTCTTTGTTGCTTTATTTCATCTCATTTATTCTCCTAATGCGTTGTAATTTAATAAAAGCAAAAAGTTAATAGTTTTACCAATGTTTTTGCTTCGCCACATTGCAAATGAAAAATTTTTGCCCGTTTTCTTCCGTCAATGTATGTGTGTGTGTGTGTGTGTGTATGTGCCATGCAGCGCGCGTTCTCCTAGCAGAAATCATACGTAGATATACATATGTGTATTTTTGTCGATATTTTTTTTTCGGGTCATATACTTGAAATGATTAGACATTAGTGTGTGTATAGAACGCGCAAAAATACCCAAAGATAGAAAAAGAGAGAGGGAGAGTGGTAGAGAGTGAGAAACTTGAAATCGACGAGCAGATAATGCTTGGTATATATCATCGGACTCATAAAAACCAAATAAGATGAAAATACGACGACAACGACTTTACGCTAAACATTTAACTTCAGATGCTTTTGGTAATTCGTAAGTCGTAACTTATGTAATGGATAAATGGCGACTAATATACACAGGATGATAGATAAATGATGCGTATGTGCGCGCGGCGCGCTCTCTCTCTCTCTCGCGCCCAGACAGCCACATATAGAGAGGAGCATTGTTGTGTGCAGAAGCGTACACACAAAAGATGAATCCAAAAAGATAAACAGCATCAAATTAGCAAATTTCAAATCGACAAAACACAAGTCACCCTAAATGAATTTAATCGAACCAACCAAGCCAGAACACAGCATTCACACACACACACACACACACACACTCCAGTGCATATATACGTAATATGAAAAAGGCAATATTCAAAATAGCAAACCATTTTATGAACCGACTCTTTCATTACGATGAATAACGTTTTGTTTATTCGTAATTTTGCTTCCAATGAGGACACCAAATAATCTAATAGAATTCGCTGGTGATGTGATCTTGGTTCGTTCGTTCGTTCATTGTGTCGATGCATTTATTTGTGTGCGTGGGCGTGTGCAATGAAAACCGAAATGGTAGCATATTTTGTGGCTCATTAGACCCTTGTGCAGGCAGACTGCACCAAATGAAATGCTTGTTCATTTTCGGAATTCACAAGTTTTTGACTAAATTATTCACGACAGAGGAGAGCATACACAGACACAACACACGTATACACAGCAAGACCAAAATTGCGCATATTTTTCAGTTGACTATCTCTTGGAAAAAGGCGAATCTTTTTTATGTCACCATCTCTCAATCTAGTCAATAATTTAAATGATTATAAATATGTGTTCCCCTTTTGTGTTTGTATCGAGATAGAGGTCGGTGCTCTGGGAGCTTCAATTCGGTCGTTGCTATTTTGCTCGAGTCGATGCTTCGATCGATTTCGAGTGTTGTCTACATCGACGGTTGTAACGGGGAGAGAAAAAAAAGTGGTAAAAATGGTGCAAGTAGAAATAAAACGGCTTCCAAACCGAAAGCCAACGAATGAAAAGGTACACACTGAAAATACTGACTGCTCTCTTTTCCGGCGATAGAGTAGCAAAAAAAATGTACTACGAAAAATGAAATATCACTAGAACATGATATGCTACTTAGGCTCAATTCCATGCCAGAATAGATACTGTTCTGACGATTTTCCACTTTTTTCTTCTCTTTTTCCAAGCTACGGTTGCTCTAGTAGTTTCCCTTCGGCCTGATAACCGATGATATATGTACATGCTTTCGATCAAATCTCTCGTTTTGGTTGCTCTTTTTCTTGACGAATATCATCATCATCATCATCATCGAGGAAACGCTTCCTCATATTTTATTCCTCCATTTTAATTATGTGAATGAGTGTATTGAATGATATATGAATTCTATTTATGAATATTGTAAAGTGTTTTCAAAATTCAAAAGTACTTGATTCAAAAGCAACGAAAAAGGAAACGAAGGACTTTTTGAAAATAATATTCTTTTGAGAAATTGTAGGTTTCTATTCAATAAAACTACCGAATTTAAGATGATTGGTCTATTAGTCTATTGGTTCTTTTGTGGGCACACGAGTGGCGTGTATATCATTAATGGTGTTGTTCCAATATGTTGACAGCAACCAAAAGCCAAGAGAAAAAAAAACAAGAACGACACATTGAAAATGCATTTGAAAATAGCTTTAAATTTAGAATTATTTAATGAGTTATATATTGACGTACGCCATGGTGTACAGAAGTGCGATGCCTTGAATCGTGCCATCACCGACTATACCAGCTATAAATAATAAATATTATTTTAATATTTATTTAGTTTGTAGCTTATCACGGTGATTGTTTGTTTTCTCTTTTCGTCAATTCTGATTGAATTTGATGAGTTGGTTTGCCGCGCATTCTCTCAAAATTGAACACAATAAATAGACACGGATCGAATATTCGGTCGAGTGTATTTTCGATATCGCTCGTCTAAATAAAAAAAAAAATACATATTCGAAAAAATATTTAAGTTGTTTGAGAACAGTGGGACGACGGTACACAAAACTAAATATGTAAGCGTTAAAATCCATTTTATCAACAACAATATATATACATCTATAGCTTGATAAAATTTTAATCCACACTGATTTACTGGATTTCCTTGTTTCCATTGTTTAAATATTTTATTGATGCGCTTACCAATAGCGTGGCCATTGTGAAATAGACTTGTCAGTGAAGAAAAAGCTTCAATAACAATATAGTACCCGGTTTGCTAGCATATAAAAATGATATGTTATTTATGATGGTCTTTGTCTCTCTCTCACCATTGGCCCCTCCACTCGTATTCCATTTCTGCTGAAGCTCAAACTTTGTGGCGATACATTAAAATTAAATGTGTGTATCGCAATGAATGCCATGACAGAAAAAAAAACCAAGAGGAACGAACGACAGAAGAAAACAGCGCACTCAAGAATGTTGAAGGATAAAGTGGGGCGAAGAGGGAAAAGAAAGTAGAAAAAGGATCCGAAAGGATCGAACGCAGATAAAACCGTTAAATAAATAAATAAATAGAAAAATTGTTGGAAGGCGATGAAAAAAAAAATGCATACGAATCAAAGATGAGGAAAAAAAATAAATAAATATTAACTACCGGATATGGTTTTCTCTTCTTTGAACTAGGGTTTAACGAGTTTTCCTCCATGTACTTGGTTTTGCATGACATTCTTCGTGCTATATTTTTTCTTCGGGGTTTACGAACGACCAATAATGCCGCTTTAACATTTTTTTTTTCACTTTGCTGACATAATCACACGATCCGGCAGAGACATTTTCTCGGAAGATTGTTCGATATTTTATTTCTTTATATTCGTCGTTTTGTTTTTTTTTTTAGCTTTCCATTTATATATATGCATATTTTTAAAGCTACTTTATATGCGCTCAGCGTAGTGAGCTCTTCCATAAAACAGTATGATTGTGTGCTGCGGCAGCAGCACATACACATTTTTCATCGGATATACATTATTATTGGAAAGGGGGAGAGAGAGAGAGAGAAAGAGACGATGGGGAAAAAAATGAAGAATATTTTACGATGACTGCATTTCTAACAGCGGTCGAAAAACCATTTCATTATGCATAAACTAGGAGCCAGCAAGTGTCCGCAAGGATTACTTATGATCATCAAATTAGTATATTTCGTAAATTTTGTAAACTATGCAAAAGCAGCATTATATTTGCTCCTCTTCGTGCACACAATACGTATATATATATATGTATATATATGTATATACGTATATTTACGTGTATGCCAAACACCACTCTCAACATATATCGTACTTTAGCCGTAATGATAATACTTTGTTATTGATATTATATGTGAAATAATATAAAAATTTAACTGATTTCCCATTTTTTGTTTTCTTTTTTCCGTAATTTTTTCAATTTCAGTATGGCTCAGACGAATTCCCACATGACAGTCCTGTAGGTAGCACGAGATATGCGTCACCAAAAGCCGGTGGCGCATTGTATCAACCAGAACCGTACTTTGATTCCACTAGCGGCACATGGTATTCATCTCCATCAAGCGCATACGCGCCACAATCATCAGCTTCGACGTATCATCACATCTCACCTCACTTAGGACCGCCCCATGGACATGATCACTACTCATTATCACCAGGCGTTACACACGATGGCCACATACAGGTACGATATCCAACTAATCATTCGCTATTCATTGCAATTTCATGCGAACGATCTGATCATTTGATTCGATTTTCGTTTTTTGTATGTACGAATATTTTTGGATATTATTAACCGTTATTTATTTTTGTGTTTATTAAAAATTGCAGCAAACCCTACCGCCGATGAGTACGTTTCGTGGCACGGGTGTTTCAGCCCAAGCAGGCGCACCACATTCACCTGTAATGTACAATCAACAACTAGCGGCGCATCATCCACATTCGCAACATAGTCCGGCTATTCAAAATGATACAATTGTTGGCAAAGCAATGCAAACCATGTTCACATCAACGGAAATGTTTACGCCGACAGTAAGTGTGACTTTTATGATCTGCGGAGATCTCAATCCAATTAACCACCGAAATTTTTTTTTGTTCTTGTTGCATTTCGAATCAGGGGACAGACCAAATAATGGCACCATCACCTACACGAACACCTGTCACAGCACATCCATCAACACCTGTAAATTCACCACCGCCGATTACTTCACAAACCCAACCACCAACCGCTCCTCCAACGCAACAACAATCATCTACAACGTGGCAACAATTGACGGTAATTTCAAATTTCAATCATCATTTCTTCCTTTTCTGTTCTGGTATATCGCCCATTTTACGCTCGATATCCACTGGAAAATCGACCATGGCGCTGGTCTTTTGATGCGCTTATCGATTGCTATGATTGAATTAACTGAATGAAAACGAATCAAAAGGAAAAAAAATATTGAAAATTGCATTGTTTTTTTCTTTGTTTCAGTCCCCGCATCGCCTAGAGAATGGTTTACAGAATGGCAGCTATCCATCCGAATTGGTTCCACGAGAACTGCACATGGTGAGTGCAAAACATGTTAAAATTGATCGCTTTTCTAGGAAGATGCAAATGAATTTTTCACGCATACGCACAAAAACCAAAAACCAATTTTTGCTTCACGGCTGATTGATTCATTTCTGGGCTCTGTTTTATACATATAATGTGTATTTTCTCTCGCTCTTAATTCTACTAAATGTTGTGTCGAAACGCTATACTCACTGTGTGTTTGACTATTTTGCTGTTTTGTGATGCCTCCAGTTATCAATTTCATTTTGTTTCAATTTTCATCATCGGTTTGTTTTTATTGCGTTGTTAGATCATTCATTGTTGGTGTTGAATATTCTCCCGGTTCAATAGGCATTGTTTCATCTTGTTTCGTTGTGTTAATTCCTTTTACTTTTCGACTTGTACAATAACTTGTTTTATGCATGCTTTTTGCATTTTCTTTTTCTTTTTTTTATCGTTTTGGTGATGTTTAGCCTAATCTACCCGATTCACAGCCTGTAGATGATGCTATTGTTTTTCTAAGCAGTACAACCGTAAGTAACGCCGTACGCTACACATATCAATAAATGTCTCCTGTGTTCTTTTACTTTCTGTCCTACTTCTTGTTGTTGTTTGGTTTCCTTCATAGAACGCATTGATTTCGTTGATTTCAGTTGAATAACTTCTGTTTGTTTTTACTAACCTCCTCATCTCTATCAATTCTATGATCGAAATCTACAAGATAAACGCTACTTATCTTACCTAAGGATTGACTAATAGTCAATGGCTATTGGCAGTTTTTCTTTCCCATGGTCAACTTGCATTAATTTCGATTCTTTTGTTTTTGTTTTATTGCAGCAACAAACGAAACTGGAAGAGAGTGAATTAGATGATGCCATCTCTGTATTTCGTAATCACTGTGAACCTCATCCGCTCGGCATGCCACCGAACATGGACGGGTCATACGTTGGACCGTCGCCACTTGTCAACTCAATCGGTCAACCACCTCAAGAAAACAATCCAACGAATGAACCACCAACAACTATTAAGCTAGAACGTGTGCCAGCTAACTCAAGTAAGTGCATCCTACATGGAATTTAAAATTCGAGAACTTTTTCGTCATTCAAAAAGGGAAAACTGTTTACAGAAATGCGTGAGTCACAAACTAATTCGATTTCATTTACAGAGAAGCGAAAGGAGCCACCAGATACGGACACCAAGCCAAGCAGTAGCTCCGTTGATGGATCGAATAAAGGCGGCAAAAGAACAAGACGGTAGTGAGTGTTATATACTTTTAAATTAAAATATCCACAAGATTTCTATTCCATAATTTTCATCTGAAATGATTTGTGTTTATTTTGATTTTTTTTTTTGGCATTGTTTTGTTTATTCTTCTTACAATAGTTTTTTTTCAATTTTTGTTATAAAAAGCAAAAAAGGAAAGAAAAAATACTTAGTAGAATAATTCATTTCAATCCAAAAACAAAGCGATTTGAAATGAAAATTTCCGTAACAAAACGAATATAAATGTATTCTTTCTAACAATGAAATTTTCTTATTCCTTCAAAACCAAATTTTCACCTTGGTAACCACTTTCATGAAAATTACAAATCCGTTAGCTGCAATAGCGCTGACGAAGGTGAAAATAATGTAGATCCAACACACAAAGCCATAAGAGAAAAAGAACGTCGTCAAGCTAACAACGTTCGCGAACGGTGAGTTATTCACATTAACAATGACATTAAAATCCTTCATTCGATTACGCATCCCAACATTTACAAGCAAAATTTAAAAAAATTAAATACAACAATTGATTTTGCAAAAAGAAAAAAAAATGATCTGGTAAAGATGATGAGCACACATTTATACTCTCTCTTTCTCACTCTTATTCTTTTCCACTGTCAATATTTTACTCCTTCTGTCCACTGCTATTCTCTGTCCCAATGCAATGTTTGTTCACGCTTTAACGAGTTGATTTTCGCTGAGAAGAGAAATCAATCGAAAATCGTTTTGTTGTAGAATGATGTCCGTTGGACGGATTGCAGTGCACACATTTGAAAATTGTTATTTTATTTTCCATCAAGACTGTGGTCGTTTTCTTACACTTTTTACAGTAGCATTTGGAAGAAATGAAATTTTGTGTCAAATTCGAAAATTCACATGATGAGAGAACATTTTGGGGATAATTCGAATTTTAAAATGAAAACCAACAGAGTTCGGACAATGTTACGATACTACAAAATCGTCAACATGACTCATGGTGGTCATTTCACCACAAAATGTAAACACAGTTTGATCGCAGGAAATGATGAATTTTTCTCTTATGTCTTTCAAACTGACAATGAAACTGAATCTAATCGCTTTCGCGCCGATTCAATCATTGCAATGCACTTAGAAACACTAGAACCCACACGCATACACACACACACACACACATCGACGTTATAAACGAAAGCAATTTTTTTTCTTTTCCTTTTTTGCATTTTATACGTTCATTTTTTTTTATAGAGCTTCATGGCTACGACACAAGTTAGGTTTTTTTTTTGAAAATAAATTTTCATTTTTCATTTCGCTAAATTGTTCCTTGAATTGTTTTGTTCATGATTTTCCATCGATTTGAGTTCGATTATTGGTTTTTTAATTAAGTTGTTTTATGTCATTTTGCATATGAAAACAATTTCCTAACCCAGTAAAATATCGCGCAGTTGTTCAAGCGAAGGTGAAGATGATGAGGAACCTGCCGTTAAAGCACAAAGAGAAAGGGAGAGACGGCAAGCAAATAATGCCAGAGAAAGGTATCTAATCTTTGCTCATTATTGTGTTCTAAGAACGATGTTTGTTTCTGTTGTGTTTTCATTATTTTATTCACACATTATATGTTATTCTCCTAATGCGGCTCGCATCATCATCATTTGTTGATGAATTTTCAAAAATTGAAACGAAGAATTGTCAATTAAAACAAAGCACACCATTTTTTTTTTGATGTCGTTATATTTTGTTATGCTTTTGCTAAAAACACGTATTTCTAACGAATGACATTATTTATTCACACAAAGTTACTGTAAATATCGAATGCTTGTCGTCAATGTAAACAGAAAAAAAAACACATACAAAATCAGATTAACCATTTTACGGGTGTCGCACAAAATCCACATGCACACATACATATACACTCACGTATAAATTTGGTCATGGGTTGCAATGTTTGTCCGTGCACTTGATTCCATCATTTCAAAAAAGGCATCTAACATCCAAACGTCTAAATCGAAAGAGTAAAATGTCGAATGCTTAAACTAACACCAAATCATCTATGCTTTATCATTTTATCACACCATATTCCTTATTGACTCACAACCCCCGATTTCCCTCCTATTTTTTTTAAATACCATTTCATCTCATCTGCAACGACAACGATGTCGTGTGCATTATTTTTTTTTTGCACAATCATTTTCGGTTTGCAATCAAATCCATTGAATACAATAATTTTTTTTTCTCTCGCATCGTTAAGAATACGTATTCGAGATATCAACGAAGCGCTTAAGGAGCTTGGTCGAATGTGCAGCACACACCTAAAATCCGACAAACCACAAACTAAATTGGGAATACTAAACATGGCTGTTGAAGTGATCATGACGCTCGAGCAGCAAGTTAGAGGTATGATTTTGTTATGATTTTTTTTTGTTTTACCTAATTAAACATGTACAATTGATATGGCATAATATTAATGAGATTTTCTATGTATAATTTGTAGAACGTAACCTAAATCCAAAAGCAGCTTGTCTGAAACGGCGAGAAGAGGAAAAAGCTGAAGATGGCCCAAAGTTACCTCAACATCACATGCTTTCAAATGCGTACCCAGCGATGCCTGTGAGTAATATACAGTTCGATTTCTGAATCGAGAAGCGGATCTACAACGAGCCCACAGCAACATCATCATCAGCTGCAGCAGTAATGGTTTGCATTGGGACAACAATCTAGATTAAATTTTATGAAGACTATGTAAATTTTGAAATAAGCAAACAGGAAAAGAAAGCTACAAAACCACGTAAAAAATGAAAGAGAGAGTGAAGAAGAAAGAAAAAAAAACAAATACCCTTTAAAAATTGAGAGAGAAAAAGAAAATTCAAATCCATGTTTAAAAGAAAATGAGGAAAATTTCTATAAATAATTTAAACAAAAAAAGAAAACACACACACACACACAGAGACACAAAAGAAAGATTGAACGGAAACAAACTTTACTATATCTTTACTTATGTATTAATAACGCTATCAGTCTCTAAAGCGAAAGAAGCCTATATCGTATAAAAAAAATTAGTATTAAACAATTTATTTAAAAAGTGAGAGAATCCTTATTGATAGTCAATAAAAATCAATGGAATCTTCTATTTCGCGTTTAAATTGTTTCAAGTGACATGCGAATGAATGTTCAAACAAACGAATCCCCATAAGAATTGTTTTGATTTTATTGAAGGCGACAATCTTTTAATTTTTTTTTTTTTTTGGTTTCATTCCGATTTCTTCTAATCGAAAACCTAAAACAAACGAAAAAAAAAATCAAATGTTAAACTTTCGCACATTGCTTTCTTTGAACCATTGCTTCCGCTATCGCTACGATGAGAGACAACAGCCTGCTTGCAAATGAATTGCCCGAGTTAAAAAAAAAACAACGACAACAATAGACAACACAATAATGTGATTCAAATAATGTCCTACACATTGAGATATTTATGCCTATCCAAATTAAGCCTAGTTTTATTTTCGACCGCTGACATTGTTCTCAATGTTTTCATACAAAACTCATCCTTTCCTATCAACATCAACACTTCTGCATACACATTTCTTTTTCATACCAGTATATATACTTCTGTTTTTGTGTGCTTAAATATGACTGTGATAATTGCGGGGAGAAAAAACAAGAAACAAGAGAGAGAATAAACAAAACAAAACAAAACAAAAAAAAACTGATCGAAAACAAACGCAAAATTGTTCGCAATCAAAATCCGAAAATTGGTCAAAGTCTCTTTTGAATAGATAGGTTAAAGATATATGCATATCGTGTACGCATTGAGATATTGGCACATCATAATCATTCAAGCTATTCTCTCATTGTAACGTTAGCCGCGGGCAGCATAGAAAACAAATACGAAATAAAACAAAATTGTCGAATCGAGCACAAAAAATGAAAGAAAAAAAAAACAAAGGAAAAAAGAAATATTTGAATCGTTAAACAAGTTTTCAATGTTCAAACAAAACAAAAGAAGAATGTTCTCATTGCACAAAACGAAACGAAAGAAAGAAATAAAAAAAAACAAAAACCACTTCGATGCGTAGGCTACGAAAGGAATAGTCTTTCTTTAAGGGTTAGCCATCTGAAACATATTACCAATGGTAACAAAGAAACCATATGTTTATTCTTTTTTTTTTAATTAACGCTCATTTTTTTCTGTAGTGCCATTTTAAAGCCATAATTGTATTATGTTTGTTTTGTTCATTTTTTTTAAAATAATTTTTGCGTGACAAATGATATGAGGGTGAAAAACGCATGCATCAAAATTGGTATTCGCTAAAACTAAAGCTAGTTGAGAATGAGAAGAGAAAGAGAAAAGAAGAAAAAAAACCCTGTCTAAAAAGAGACCGGAAAAAAATAATATGAAATGAAATATGGCTAGGATTAAAAAAAATACAAGAATTTTGATCATGAAACTAACGAAAGAAAATAAAAAGGACAGAAAGAAAGGGGGAAAAAAGCATATTTACATTCAAGATGAATGCAATGTAAATGATTTAGTAGAAACGGTGAGACAAAATACAAGTTATAGAGGTATATGTAAGGAAATGATTATAATAAGTATTAAGAGGACGCCCGTATCATAATCAGTTAGGTGTGCGTGTGTAGGATGAGACGGCAGAGCTAACGACTACTAGTACGGCGTATAGGTGAAGTGAAACAAAATAAATGAAAAGAAAAACAAGTAAAGTAAAGAGTAACAAAAGCATAAAACAGAGAAAAAAACACACACACTGGATAACAAATATAATAATTATTAAATGGATTGTACACATAAATTAATATTTTAATAGCAATTAATTATTTAAAGAAAAACAAGAGAGAAAAAAAAACACAAAATGATGAAGTGAAACAGATAACCGAAACAAAGAAGCAACGTTAGAACGTGAGGTGACGATGAATGTAAAAGACAGACACTATTTTTTATACAAAAGAAAACCACACACACAAAAAAATCCAGGATAAAAAAAGAACAAGTTCGAACATAACAAAAGAGCATTAAGGAAATCTGAGAGGGAAAAAAGAACACACACTCACTCATTGTATGTAAAATGAATAGTAGTTTAGTCGAATATGACAGGACAATAGTATTTTTTGACTACTTTGTATGATTTTCTTTTTTCATCTATGCCAACAACTAGTTTCGTTCAACAAATCAATCGTTCGACCGAAACAAAACAAAAAAAAAAACTATCGAAAAACCGAAACATTTCTCTATCAGCGGATATAATCACGATGCCGACGCGAATTTTACATCACAATACTTTTTGCGCGTGTGTGTGTGTGGATGAGCCACACACACACACACACACACTTTACATCGATGGCGTCCCATACTTAATATATTTTTAAAATGAACACTTAAAATCCGTTTTGCCAATTGTCGTGCCACTTTCCATTTCACTTTGATTTCATTCCAATAATTCTCTTTTTTTTCGTTTTAGTCTTAAATCGCGAAATCCATTGAATTTCTTTTTCGTCATGTGCGTTTTTTTTATTCGTTCTGCTGCTGTCATAAATTAAAATTTTTTTCTCGAAGTTGATTGTCGAAACGAAGTCTTTATATAGCAATTGGTGTACTTCAATCAACAATATATACTATCATTTTCATTTGATCTATTCATTCTCTCTACTTCAACATTTACTATGATAATACACACTATATAGCAAACACACATCTTCTTTTATTTTTCGTCTTAATTTTTTTTTCGTCTCTGTTAATAGCGATTAAGTATTATATTTAAAAACACAACATATGTACATAATTTGTCAAATCTGAATTCAAAATGTTCTCTATTAATTTGCAAGAAAAGAAAATGGTAGTTATAACGATGATACGCAAGGCATATAAGAATATTTTGGGTTACAAATGACCAGATACTTACCATTGTTTTCTCTTCTTCTTTATGATTTTTATTTTTTTCAAATGAAATCGGGATTTCACACTCACACAACCAACAACCATAAATATTTCGCATTCTGCACACAATTTCGAATAATTTTTTTTTCGTGCGACATGATTTTCCATTTTCAATTTTTTTTATTGTCTTGAGTTGTTTTTTGTGACTTGAATAGGAAAATTGAGCTATGGTTTTCGATGTGTTTTCAATTGAATAGGCACAATGCTTTGCATGAATATTTATGTAGTGATATTCCTGCAAAGTACTATCCCTATCAAATACACTCATATAAAACACATTGAAAACGATCACTGGCCAAAAATCACTTGCATGAAAAAAATATTCATACCAAAAAGTCAATCAAGTCAGGATCGTGAAATATGTTCCTCAACTCACTCGTCACCACCATGATATATAGTTAGAAATATCCTTTCCAAAATGCACTCGAATTAGCGAGATCTCTGTATACATTCAATTCTACCAGCGCAGATCAAACTGATGCCAAACAAGCGATAAGTGCTCGGAGCTCAAATGTCATTTCCATACAGAAATAAGAACAATCATCACAGTCATTGGAAATGCGGTTGCATTTGGGCTTCGACCATTTTTATGCTGAACCATCATTACGTTTATTTTAACGACTTAAATTACACCCAAATTGTGGTAATCCAATCCCATTTTTTTTTATCAACTCAGTATGCAGTTCGAAGGGGAAAAATCAACGAATTTTTTATGGATGTGTCCTTTTTGTACTAAGAACAAGAGCAAATTTGAGTTTTTCTTGCAACTGTTAAAAAAGACAGTGAAAAGAAATTGAATTTGCCACCAATTTTCTTGTTATTGTTGCTAAAACGTTTCCATGTAGTCGAGCGTGTCTCACTAAATTGCCTCGCTGAAAATGAAACCAATTGCGGCATTATTCTACTTAATTCAAGTTTATTGAAACGAAATTCGTAATATTTTTCCCTCGACGAACTGTGAGCTTGGCTCTCGAAAATAAGAAAAAAACAAACAAATAATAATTTACTTAAATCACCGTATGGATATTTTTTAAGTGAGGAAAACTGCATTTCATTCATATATATTGAAAGAAAACAAGAAATAAATACAAAATAACAATGCTATACTCGCTTCAGTAGCAACAAAACAAACGAGAATTTTTACACACAATCAAACACAAATTCCATAGATATTTTTTTTTTCTCGGACATTGCAAACAAGTGTATTTATTTTGCTCGAATAAGAAATGATCCTTGCCAATTGGAGATAATGCAATTTTTTTA